CAGTAGAATGCTCAATGGGTGCCATGGGATCTGACTATAAGCAATTCAGAGAGTATGTTCAGCATCTAAAGTGGAATTCATTAGGAATGTGATCGGTATAAACCGACAACATCAGATCAGGGCACTTCTGACAATAGTTAAAATATGGACTACTTACAAAACTCCTTTTTAAAAACAAAATTAATAACAATTGGCAAGTTTTAAGGATTTCTAATAGAGAAAAATTTGCAGTGCTTTCTGAATCCAAATTACCTTCAATCTCGGCCTACATGTAAATGATGGAAACCTTATACCTCTGTTGAACTACTAAAGCTGCTTTCATGGAAAATGAAAAATGTGCCTTCTCACAAATGTTATTATTGTGTGGCTCAGATTTCCAATTAGAATTTCTCTAGAAATTGTAATTTCCAATTTTGTGTTTGGTGTAATCCCACCAGCACTCAGCAAATTCCTCTCATATCTGCTAAATAAAATAAATAACATCTTAAATTAACATTCCAAGGAATCTAGAAATGTTAAAAAAAGCCTGCTCCTGGAATTAGTACCCAATTCGTATCAAGAGTGGTTTTTAAATTTTGAATAAAATCCTCTCCATTGTGCAATAAACGAAGGCAGTGGGGCTTCCAGGGCAAAAGATGATCCATCACTGCATATTCCAAACAGATCCTAGTGCCTTTTTATCTCTGTCAATAAATCCTTTGAGAGAACTTTGGAATAGAAGGAACCTCGATAATGGCCTGTTATAAAGGAAGCTCCAGCAAACCCTTCAGAACAGTATGTTGTAATGCACTGAGGACACTTGGGAACAGTTCTCCATCTGTCACTACACTTTCCAGAAAGCAAAAGAGGACAAAAAAAGGGAGGTGGGGGGTAAAAGGCATCTGGGGAAAATTACTGTGAAGTTCTTGCTGGCCCAGCCTCTGTTCTAGCACTGGAAAGTGGTGTCGTGTCCAGGATGTACATGGAACATCAGGATGTACGAAAGGAGCCCTCCCCAGAACTCTGCCCCAGCACAGGGCTTGGAGCAGTGTGGTGGAGATGGTCCACAAGCTGCACTTCCCTCTCTTCACCAGCAGTGCCAGAAACTGGCACCAGCACCAGCAGGACTGGCTCCCACGGCAGGAAATGCCATAGGAACACTGCCAGATGAGAGAGCAACTTGGTGCCTTCAATAGCTGATATCCCAAAGGAGCTCCTAAATGTGACTCCAGGCTCTGCCAGTTTAAAAACAAGACTGAGCAATGCAAACTTTCTCTCTCATATTTTATAACATGAGGCACAGGCACATCAAATTTTCAAAGCACTCGAACGCTGTCCAAGTGTTGTTGAAAACAGTTTATTAAGATAGCAAGTGCTTGTGCCCCCTGCCCAGAGGGCTGAACATTGACCCCCTGTCCCTGCCGTGGCCCAGCCGGGTGTGGCACTGCAGGAACTGAAGGCACTGCTATCACCAAACACCCCTGGCAGCCACAGACACCTGGGGAGCAGCCAGAGTTGCTGTCACCCTCCTGGTGGCACAAGAGAAGGCTTTAAGGCAACGTATTTCTCCCTCCACATGCACAGCTATGCACAGCATTCCAGCCTGTTCCTGCTGACTGCACAGCTGAGCCAAGGGCAGGACGTGCCTCCTCAGACTGCTGAGGTTAAACCATTCAGTCCTATTTTATCTGTCAGAACCATCAGTGCAGCAGCAGCAGAATGGAACCTGAAAATCCTACCAGATTGGGGTGCAATAACTGGTAAACCTGGTATTTCCAGCCTGCAGTCAAAACAAACAGCAGAATGAAATCACGGCCCTTTTAAATTTTTCTTCTTGTTTTTCGTTTTAAAGCAGCAGTCAAAAGGCCTCTTGAAGCCTTGTTTATAAGCAAACCAGTCTCAAAGGCTGGATTTGCATTGGCAGGGTTTGGAGCCTGCAAAATAAACCTTTCTAGGTAGTGTTTTCCCTCTGCCTATAAGGGAGGAATGGTTTCTAGTGTAAATTCTCCCAGACTACATCCCTTTCCAGCTACAGTGAGGAAACTGCCTAATTCAACACAGCTGGGCTGCCCGAGCCTGGCTGGGAGCTGCTGCTCTCTGGGCATGCACCTGCAGCCCTTCCTCTGGGCAGGCACTGAATGGGAGCACACACTGACAGCCCATTGACGGGGGAAGCACCGCGGCCATTCAAAGCTGCTCCTCAGCTGCAGTTTCTTTGGCAGAGATCATTCCATTTGGGGAATACTTGATGTTCTGGTATAGTGGCTATTACAGAACATCTTTGGGAAAGTACACTTCTTTACTCAACACCACGGTTCCAAACTGACTGCCAAGTTATAGTCAGAAACAAATTCTATGATCAGGTGATGATCACAGAATCACAGAACGGTTTGGGTTGGAAGGAACCCTAAAGATCATCTAGTTCCAATCCCCCTGCCATGGGCAGGGACACCTTCCACTAGAACTTCAAAAACTCCTAGGAAAATGATTTTCAATCACCTATAGTTTTTTTCTCCAATGTCCTGTGCTCTCCATTCTCCAGGGACCTCTGTGCTACTAATGCTTTGCATATATTAGTGATTAAGCTAACTGGATCACCAGGTGTGCTCAACTTTTACTCCACCCATAACTGCCTATTCTAACAAAGGGTCTCTGGCAAGAAAACTGCACTTTGGCTTCTGAATATTGTTATTGTAATAGGAAAACCAGAAAAAAACATAGAAATCATAAACTGAAATTTCGACTGTGAAAATATTGACTTTTCATGCTTTTAAAAACTTCATTCTTTTGGCACTCCTAGTGAACAAAGCAGAAGTATTTACTACAATTCATGCAAGGTTTTGAATTCTTTGCATTTCAGCCAAGCTTCACGTACCACAAAGGAATGACACGATTACTTATTAATTAAGGTTTGGGATCTTAATTTGCAAGGAAGATTTCAAAGATGCAGTGAAATGAACACAAAATTCTTGTAAAAGACATCACTAATATTTCCTCTGGTAGGTGCAGGTATTTGGAAAAGCACTTGCCTTCTTGTACTAGGTGAGTTCAAAGCCACTTCTTTCAGCATAATGCTCAGGAAGTTAATTGAAACTAAAGCACCTGTACAACACAGATCTAAAAAGGATTTTTAATCTTGAAGAAATCATCCCTTGCAAATCCTAGCAAGTGCCTGACCACGATGTCTACCCTTCATTCACCTCCCAAGGTGCAATGTGCAATCCCACCTGACACACTCTGAAGAGACTTTCAAAAGTTATTCCCAGCTCTTTTCAAAGAGTTTACAGACTCAGCACCATCACACTCCGTGGTGGTTCAATACCTGACATTGCACATTATTGAAAATGTCACCATCTGCAGGCTTGAAGAGCCACAATCAAACCCAAGATCCATGGGCTGCTCGGGGACTGTCTGAGCTGTCAATAGATCAGAGGGACACAGCACCAGCAATGAGTCTTCACTTCTCTATCCATCCTGGAGATTGATGCAGTGGGGGAATGAAACAATCCCACAGCCCAAGATCACACACAGAGGTGCTGTCTGTGCAGTCCTGCCTCGCAGCACTCACTGCTAAGGAACTGCACATCATTTACAACTAGCCAGCATATAAAATAGGTTTATCCCTGTTCAAATCCATGCAGCAAGATCACTTAGATGTGTTTCAAATAACAGTCTCTATTCTTCTGTACTTCTCTGTTTATTTTTCCCTTTCAGCCTCCTACTGATGTGTCACTGGAAGCATCTGACAACTTACAAAGCTCTCATTCATCGCTGCTTGAGCACTTTTTCCATTCACCTTTTTCCTCACATTGACTCAAAAGACTCTGTTATGAAGCCTGTAGCTCACTGATCACTGACTGCATAAGGTTTAATTGCTGTGCAAAAAACCCAGCAAACACCACCCAAAAGTCTTTTAAATGTCAGCCAACAGCAGCACCACCTTCCTCCTCCTCAATCCTGCCAAGGATGTCATTGTTTTCAAATCTCCTTAAAAAAGCTAATCGGTGTGTCTTCCTACCCAGGCAGCTTCACGAGCAGAGATCCTATGACTTGTGTAATTCCAATTGGTTAAAAGCTTCCATAAAGGCCTTTTCTCAAAGATATAAACCCAAAGCTCAGAGTGTTTACAGCCCAGCCTGGCTAGTCCAAGTTAGGGCTGTAATGCACAGCTTTAGAGGTTTAGATACATTACACCCACCCTAGGGCAGGAAACGGCACACTGAGCAGTGAGGAAAGACCAGGAATTCTAATGCCAACCCCCCAGCTGTTCTTATCTTCAGGTTATGATAGGTCTAATGACAACTGTGTAACTCCAATAAAAGGAGTACAGAGTTTAGAGTAGTAATTATTTGCTACCCTCTCCTGGTTTTCTGCTGCCACGTGGGAGCGTCCAAAGGAGAAAGTATTTCAATAAAACAAAGAAATGTGACAAAGTTATTTATAGAAATTTTAAACAACTCCATACATGGGAAAACTATCAGTCATAGACAGAAATACAAATTTTGTGATACTTTTATGATAAATAATAAATATTTATTTAGTATAAAAAATATTCAGTGCACTGGGTTTCAGTATCAAAGTTTTGAGGAAATCTACTGAACAAATTCTAGGCCCTGCCAGTGTAATTCAGGAAATTCATCTTACACTGCTTGTTTTTTCGAATTCCCATATGACAAGTTTTACATCACCTACATGATTAGGGCAGGAAGGAATCTGAATTTGTTATAACACCAAAAAATGGATCAGGATCAGGCCACCACGTTTCTCCACAAGAAAGGAATCAGGTTAAACTTAAATTGTTCACTACCATTTATGTACACATAATTATATTTTTTCTTTTCCCCCGAAGCTGTTTAACTATGGAGACGTCAACTTGTAAGTACTTGAACACGAAGAGTCACCACAAGCAGCTTGTTTATTCACTGAAAGGTCAATATCAGACACCAGGCTTACCTTATCCAATACAAGAAAAATACTGCTGGTTCATTCTCAGAGGAAAAGGGAGGAAAGGCTGTACTCACTTGTTAAAAAGGTTCAGCCCGATCCTATAGTGGCGTTTCCTGATAACATCGTTACTGAAGGCAGGGGAATCCCAGCTGTTGCGAGTCTCTTTGTGGTAGGTTTGTTTGCTCAAGGTTTGCTCCCTTAGGCTGTCTCTAGAAGAAGATTCTGAGCTGCAATTTATTGTGTCATTCGAGTTGGAAGTGCTGTTGATGCTGTCATTGTCTCCGTCGGAATAATCCGACTCGGATTTGCTCTGCCTGTTTGCTGTGCCATTGATGGCTAAATGACTGTCTATAGGCCTGGCCCTGTGTCTTGCCTCCTGCTCCTCCCGGGTGATGATCTTGGCAGGAATACTGTGAGGGATATGTTTTGGGCTTCCCTGTTGACTGGTGATGCCCCGGTCATAGGCATTTTGTCTCTTTAATGAGCCTCTCTCCGAGCGATCGCTCAAGTCCACGGAGCTGTCACTGGGTGGCTCTATAGTTAGCAATGGTAGGTGATCCATCCTCATCCTCTGCTCCTGACATTCCAGGGACGGGGTACTCCTGCAGCTCGTATCAGTGTCTATCTTATCATCTTTGTGGGTCATGGACCAGTATTCTTGGGAAGAGTTCACGGAGCGGAGCCTCAGATCCGACTCCGTGCTGGACGGCCTGTCCACGGACTGGGATAGGGGAAGGGGTGGGGACAACTCCTCCTCGTCGATGTACAACGTGACATCGCTGTATGACGCTGTCATCTCATCCAGCTTCCTGTGATCCACATTGTGGACTGCTGGTTTGGCTGGAGCACAACTGTCCCTCTCCATTTCACGACTTCTGACCTGATCTGCAGCCTGGATTTCGTCAGAGTGCAGGCTACGGCAGTTCAGTGCATCATCGATGGATTCCGCAAGGGATTTCACCTGCCTGGAAAAGGCATCCTCCAGTTCCGTTATAGCATCAGTGAAATCAGTCGATGCTGCTGGAGACTTCATCGTAGCTGTTTCTCCAAGGTCATCGCATTCAGACGGTACCAGGGATGCCAGCTTTGACCCATCGTTTGTAACAGAAACTTGTTTCCCTTCAAAGTAAGAGCTGTGGACTTTCTCAGGTCCTTCAAAGGAAAACTGCATTCTCATATTGGACAGGACGATGCGCCTTGACATGCGATTTTCAGACATAGAACTTCGGAGACGCTCAAAGTTCTTGTTCATCTGATACTGGCGAAAGGCGGTTTGGATGGTGCGAGCAGCATGTCTGGTTATGAGACGGCCCCCATACTTCCGTTCTAGCATCTCCACCTGGGGGGTGAACACAGGGAATTTGTAGCTTAATGCAGGTTAGAACGAGGTTAAAGTGTAAAAAAAAGAGAATTCTTAGAACAACTGCAATTTTTCAGACATTTTTCCAAAGAGCATTATTTTGAAAATAAAAACTCAAAGCTCAAACAGTGAACTGAATAGTCGTTTGCAAATTCCACCCTAAAATACAAAAATATGACTCTGTGAATACTGTCATATAAAATTATGGTGTTGGCAATTTGTGTGTTCATTTAAAAGTTGGTTTCCACGCATTATCAGTGGTGTGGCCATGTCAAAGCAGACGGGACAGAGCTCTGCTGCAGCATAATGCTGCCACACTCTCTGTAGGGACAACTACAGAGAAGTGAATTCCAAGCACAATGCAAATGGCCATATTTTGGGAGTAAATTCTCAAAGTGGTCCCCACCTTCCCAGACAGGCACCTGCATGAATAAAACCCCTGGAGCACCGTTTCACCCAGGCCTGATATCAAAGCAAAACTGAGCTTCCCAGAACACACACACTTCCAGAGAGGTGTCTCTTGATAGAATATCCACAAACACATTTTTCCTCAAACCAAGAATATATTTCAGAGTTTCTAAATAAAAATTCAAATTTATTTTCAATCTGGTAACTACTCTCAAAATTGCCAGTGTTTCCAATTAACTGAATGAATATGCAAAATAAATACATATAAATGCTATCAATTTAACCCATTGAAAACGATGTGCCAATACCTCTGAAATAGTTATTATATATTTTCAAAGTTTTTCTTCCAAAATGAGAAAAGCATCATAGTGTCCTAGAATGGTTTGGGTTGGAAGGGACCTTAAAGCCCATCCATTCCACCCCCTGCCATGGGCAGGGACACCTTCCACTAGCCCAGGTTGCTCCAAGCCCTGACCAACCTGGCCTTGGACACTTCCAGGGATTCAGGGGCAGCCACAGCTTCTCTGGGCAACCCTCAGTGCCTCACGCTTTTACTTATTTAAAAAACACTGAACAAGATGAACAACTACATTTCTTTATCCCCCCCCCAATATTTAATTTCTGCTCTGATGAGTCTTTTCCAGATCGATACGATTCACAAACACAAACCAGCTATGACAAATCAATATGTTCAGTGCTACAATTAAACCCACCATTTTTCTGGCAGCATTTTTGTGTGAGTCCATGCAATTTTCATAATGTTGTAATGATTCAAAAGTCATTTCTTCTTGCCTGCAAATTCAGGTACCCTTTTTCATGAGACACCATGTTTTTTTTAATCTCATACCTTGGAGATCTCTCCAAGTAATCTCCCACTAACTGTTAAGTTCAGACACTGATGTGCAGAGGGACTTCATCCTCCTTCTATGAAAGGAACTAAATGCTACTAAAAACTATTTTCTAGTCTATTATGTCTATCATTTGGGAGTAGCTGATGTATTTCTTTCAGTGCCATTGCCAGGTTCAGCAGCTCCCATTCCCCTTCCACATTAAAGATGATCTCCCTTTTTGCTCACTAAATCACTGTTTTTTATTTTTTTTTTTATTAATTATAGAGGCAAAAAATATTCTGCACAGTTATTGGCATAAACTGAGGAGGCCAGTTTCTCAGGTGGACTCAGATCAGGATTACTGGTAGGGAATTGTTCTTTTGACTGTATCTTTAAACTTGCTTTAACCAAGCTCAAAAAGCTGTTACTGATCTCTGAGCAGCTCCAAATTCCATCTGGATTTACATTTCCAGATGTAAATTTCTGCATAATTTTCTATAGTGTCTCTTTAAGCAATTGTTCAGCCTTTCACTACCAAATGGGGGGTTTTGCCCCCAAATTTGCACGTGCCAAAGAGACTATGAGGTTGCTTGTAAAGCATTCTGAAGATTCAAAAAATTATTAAGAACTTAATAATCTATCACAGCCTTACCACTGCTGCCACACATTTGCTACTATTTCTATTTGCAGCATACATACATATATATATATATGTATGTGTATATCTATATATATCTATCTCACATGTATTTTTATAAATCACAAGAGATTATTTGCTGGACTAATCTCAAAACAAACAACTTGTCAATTCAGTTCTCCTCTCAAAATTAAACGTCAAACCTAATGAAAAGTAAACTAGCACAGTTAGAGAGAGAGAATGAAACAAAACCTAATATTCCATAAAACAAATTACCTGGACTTTATTCTTGCAACAAGCTGTTGTCCTTCAGTTTTACACAGAAAATAGCATTATCACTGATCATCATAAATTAGGGGAGTTTGGTGGGAACTTAAATTGAGATTATTTTCCAACTTGCCTAGATGAGTTAGACTTGTGATTAGTATTTCTAATAGATTTTAATGCCTATTTCATGCACCTTTTCAATGCATATTTAATGCAGGTTAACTTTAGGTAAAGTCTGGGACATTTTCCTACATCGTTTTTAGTATATTCAGCTATTTTAAGGAGAGCTTTTCAAGAGCAGTAACCAACTCTGCAGTATCAAGCTTCCTTCATGTATCATTGTCACTTTTATTGTGCAAGACTCCCTGAACAAATACAAAATAACATCTGCAGTCCTCCTCACTCTCCATCAAACTGGCACAGAAGGACAAATGGAATTGGGCTCTGTGGAATATCTGCAGTGCAGGAGATCTCCTCAGAAAGCCTCACACTCTACATTGATCCCTGGTGAGACATCCACCAAAAACCACTGCCAAAGGTGGAACAGGAAGGAACAGTTTTGATCTCACAAGCAGGTCCAATTTAGCAGCAGAGCTGGCATCAGGAACCTGCTGTCCCCCCAATTTGGTGAGCGTGGAGGCTAAACTAAACTCACACTTGCTATCCCAAATATTGGCTTCAACTTTGAGGCAGAGTTCAAGGTCTGTTCTTCCAGGTCCTTCTGGAACAACATCTTATGATCCCCCAACCTGAAAATGAGATTTAGCCCCTATAAATTTCACTGACTTTCAATGTTTGGTCCAAAATCAGGAATAGTTTGCTTCCTGTCTGTGGAATTTTGCCACTTTCACCATATTAACACAGAAGCTGGAGTGACTGTGGAATATACCTCGATGATTCCCAGACTCTTGGGGATGGGTCTGTGCAGGGCCAGGAGTGGGACCTGATGATACTTGTGGGTCCCTTCCAACTCAGCAGGTTCTGTGATTCTGTGATAAGATCTCTAACCAAAAAAAAACCTCCAAACCAGAAAACATTGATCTATTGGCTATTGTTCATCTACCACTGACATCGGTGCATCCTGCATATTTGCCTACCTTAAACTCTTAGGGCACCATTTTCAAATCATAAATATGAACTTATATGGTGATAAACATCTTTCAAATAGGAATACATTCGAAACAAACCCTAGAAGGAAAGACTGACTGTCTTACAAAAGTGCCTTTTTATGGACAAAGGCTTCGAATATCTACATCCACTTCTTTGTAAAGGATGTGGGAGTTTTGCCTAGTTGAGTAAAGCCAATTAAAGCCTTGAATTCACCCCACAGATACAAGAAAATATCAGCTGCAATACGTTGTTCCTTTCTTTCAGAAGCAACAAAAATATCCAGGTTTCAAAATGACTCATTTGCTTAGGAAAATATTTTGCATTATTGTCCCCAGAATAAGTTCCTGGTAGAACTGTCTTTATTATTAAAACTATCAACATATCTTTTACACCTTTCTTCAGGAAGTGGGGAAGGTGTAAGGGACAGAGGGGTGACACAATACAGGATAAAAGAGTCAAAAACCTCAGAAATGCTGGCATATGACTATTTGAACTAAGCTGGGCACAGAAAAAAGGCATTTTCAGCATCACAACTGATGTGTTGCTAAAAAAGACTCCCCCCAGTTTACAGACATGTTGCCATTGTCTTAAATTAAGTAACAAAGCCCAAATACCTGCTTATCTTGTAGGTCTGAGGAGAGTTCATAGCTCTCAGAAAGCGATCTTGACCTTTTGATAGCTTCTTCCTCGGCCTGTTTGCGCAGGATGGACGTGGAGTGCTGCAGTTTGGGCCTCCGTGCCCGCTGTCCCGGGGAGATGGAGTAGAGCCCGTAGGGAGAGGGGTCGTAGTGGTCTGGGCTGATGGCTGAGCTGTGGGTTATCGGCCCTTGGTGGTACCCAGAGGGGCTGTCCAGGGACGTGCCAGTCTCACTGCTCGGAGCTTCGCCCTCCACACTGCAGGGGACAGACAGGACACGGTGAGTGCTGCCCCCAAACCTCAGCAGCCACCAGCACGGCTCTGCTGAGCAACACTGCAGGCACCCAGCACATCTGGCTGAAGTTCAGGTGCAATTGTTACAGGGAGTGTGGCTTTCATGTCAAACACCACAGTTTTTGCTGTACTCTAAACAAGTCTCAGTTTGTCCTGCAGGCATCACCTTTAGATCGTGAGTGGAGCAGGACAATGCAGGTTTCAAGCATTATTTCACTTTATACAGTAATTATTAATAACATCCTCAGTTCCTTAGGCAACTATGGTGTAAAATGAATGAAAACTTCTAATTTCTTACAATACTGCTCATTTCCAAGTTGTTCTACTCAAAGTGACAGATGCTTGTTTGCGCCTTTCCTTGCTTTGACAAATTAAAGCAATATTTTCTTACCCTCATATTACAGTTTGACACAAAAGGATTACTTTCCTGGAGATTACTCAACGGAGAGCTGGGATTTAATGGATCTTGAGAGCTACTATGTTTCTAAAGACTAAAGTTGGGAAAAAGTACCTCCAGGACCTACAGGAGAAATCTCATTTATTTCTCTCTTAGTGAAAGACTGCTCCCATGGGATGCTTTTGGCATCCTTTGGAGTAAAGCATCCCATGGGATGTTCTTTACAGCTAATGAAAGCAATGTGCTTTCAGGTGAAGAAAACACATTAGAAACTATCTAGCAAATAAAACATTTTGTTTTCACATGAATGCTGTTATTGCTAAGGAATAAAGAAAAGGAAAAAACATTTTTGTATTAAAAGGGTGGTACATAACAGGAAACATTTTAAAGCTGAGCCCCAGGCGTATCCTGGAGTCCTGATGACACAGCAGTTTGTGTTTGGGTTGTATTTTACAGCAGGGCACTCTCACCCTGCAGTAGGATTTGCACTTTCACTCTTCCACCGTATCCTATGTTTCACATCAGTATTTCCCGTCTGCCTCACCCTGTGTACACAGAGCATTGACAGCAGAATGAAACTGGACTTTTTTTTAATCCCTCAAAAGACTTAGGAAGCACTCCACACATGACCAAATATAAGCATCTGCAGCACTTGCCCTACCTTTTATTTTAGGAAAGGCACAGCCCAACTCCAAAGCAGTAAAATTCCAAGTCCTGTAATTCTTATTTTGCCTTCATTCACATGAAGGGGAACATAAAAAACCAAAGTCCTCCTGTTGTCTCTCAGCAGTCCCTTCAGAAAGTACAGACCAATTTCTGACTGAACCTTCTCCACCAGGAGAGAAGAGGGTTAACACTGGCCAAACCCTCCCAGCTTGAACAGTGAGTACTTTTTAAAGGGAAGGAGAAAAAAAGCCCCTTAGATTTCTTAAAATGCTTCTATAAACATGGAAAACTGAAAGCAAGCACTCTTTCTTTGCCCATCAAAATATGACTCTACCCGAAAGGTATTTTCAAACATACTTAACCCAAGCTGGAAACATTTTCAGTGTGCACACATTACTTTTTCCAAAAAGGAAGCTGACAGGAAACTAATCCCTTTCCCTCGGTGATCCAGCTGGCTTTCAACTTCAAAACGATAAATTAGCCCGAGTTTTGCTAGTGACACTGAAACTGTGTAACCACCCACTGATCACAAATAAATCGGCCTCCCTAAAGCATCCATTAAAGAAACAGTATCACATTCTCTCTTTAAACACTAAAATAGGTTTCTCTGTCCTGCCAACTCTGAGGCCACACTATTCTGTACATCACAGGTTCCTAGAGCAAGTTTATAAGTACTTTTCATACAAGTATGGAAAATTTGTTTCTAACAGAAAGGCAGGAATTATCACTATTTCCCCCTTCTTAGGTTTGTGACTTTTTTTTGCCAACCTCACCATTGTGAACTATATAACAACCCTTCCATGTTGACTATAACCTCCTGTTGGCAGTTTAATAATGATACCTTCAATGGATCACTTAACCTGTTCAGCAACAAAAAGTTTCTGCCCTAGCAGAAAAAGGTGGAAGGAGGTCTACCCAGGGCTCTGATTAAAGTTAAGGGCTGCTTCTTAATTTTAGTTTGCCTCTTGTACTTTTTCCAGATATCAATGTGATGCTTGACTGACTACAATGCTTGCTCTCCTTTTGCTCACAGGCCTATTCCCTACCACCTGACCTGTGAAGCAGGGAATTAATTACCTTTTTACAACAGGCAGCCTCCTGCAAACAACAGCCCTTCAAAGCAAACCCACATGCACAGCCACTACCACGTGTTTTAGGGTTTTCTCCCATCCAGCTCTTCTGCCTTCTTACGAGCAGCTCAAACTCCGTATGAGCTCTTGCATTCCAATGAACTCCACTGACAGGGAAAAGCAGCTCACTTTCTACTTCCTACTACTGTACATATGTGTGGAAAAGAAAAACATTTCAATAAATATGACTTGTGTGAAGCTGTAAGGCTGACAGGTTGGATTGCTCCACTGAGGGGGAACAGCACCCAGAGCTGGTGGAAGTGCTCTCCAGGCCACCTTCCATCTTTTATCACCAGTCCTGGTTAACTGGAGAGGTCCCAGGGGACTGGAGGTCACCAAATGTGATGCCCACCTACAAGAAGGGACAGAAGGATGACCCAGGGAACTCCAGGCCTGTTAGCCTGACCTCAGTGCTGGGGAAGGTCATGGAGCAGATCATCCTGAGTGCCACCACACGGCATGTGCGGGACAACTGGGGGATCAGGCCCAGCCAGTGCGGGTTTGGGAAAGGCAGGTCCTGCCTGACCAACCTGATCTCCCCCTACAACAAGGTGAGCAGCTCAGGGGGTGAGGGAAAGGTTTTGGATGTGAATCTGGACGCAGGAAAGCCTTTGACACCCCCAGCATTCTCCTGGAGACACTGGCTGCTCATGGCCTGGGTGGGACACTGCTCACTGGGCTCACAACTGGCTGCTGGCCCAGGGAGAGGTGGGCAATGGAGCTCCATCCAGCTGGGAATGGGCACCAG